CTCAAAAGTAACTATGGCTTTCACTACATCTCTCAAAAGAATTTTAAGTTTCTTTCCTCCATTTACCTTCCAAGGAGACTCCAATCTCTCACCTGAAGATGACGACCATGTTTGATTCAACACCAAATCAACCTCTACCTCTTATTCAACAAGAACCGTCCGATCTGTCGCCACATCTTTCTCTGATTCAACAAGAACCGTCCGATCTGTCGCCGCATCCTCCTCTAAATCAACGGTGTCGTGCTTGGCTCCGGAGAAACGAATCGAATCGCTTGATTCTCAACCGTTTCGTAACCCGAAGCGATTACACTATCAGAATTATCGGAATCATCGGAATCACGGTGAGATTCAACGCCGTGTGGCGAAACTCCGACGATGGATGGATCGGAATCTGGAGGGTTGTCTCATATTAGACATAGTTAACTATGTTCAAAAATATGTGTAGTAGGTAACAATGTTTATGAAATGTAGTTAACTATATACGATATTTTTTCACTATAATASGTAARTATYTCTGGTAATAGTTCACTATGTTCRCRTTCYTTATGTAYACTATAATAGATAACTATATTTCTAATAATAGTTGACTATGTATATTAATCTTTTTCATTATGCAAAATAAAATAGTTGGCTATGTTTATTTAAATWAATAACTATTARAAATAATAYCATTTTTATGTAGWCAACTATGTTATGAAATRGGTATAGTAGACAAATTATGCTCTGAACTAGTTAACTATTATGCTACTAACTGTTGTTTTTAAATTATGTCATATATAGTTCACTATCACTATGTAAAATAGATTACATGAATAGTTGAATATATATACATTCGAATAGTTGACTATATACATTTTTATTTTGTTACGAATTAATTTGGGAAAGATATCTCTCTGTCCAACCAGTTTTATGGAGTCATGAGATATTTTTAGTGATTTTAGCGATTAATGATAAATACTTTTTTACAGATTTTCTTTCTTAATTTTCGCAGGGGTATTTTTGTCTATTTTTTTCTTCTCTCTCCTACATACCTAAATTTCATTATGTAGAAGTTAGTTACCTAATTATGGAGTCCAAAACAAATATTAAGCTAATTAACCCTATATACTTTACACATGGTGTCAACTTTCTGTGTTTTTTGTTGTATACGGCATCGACTCTTCAACGGAGACTTTTCAATCTCATGCATGATTTGATTTGCAATCGAATCTGAGCTCAAGTTTATGGGAAAAGAAAAAAAAACAAAGTTGGTTTTCGAAACGAGTTATTTTTTAAAACAAATCTTTAATTTTGTTTTACTATTTCAGATTGATCCGTCCAAGACAAGAAAATAAATTCAGCTTTCAAGACAACAATTAGAGAACAAGGGCTCAAGGGTTTCACTAGAGGCTGGTCACCGGCGCTTATTGGCTACAGTGCCCAAGGAGCGTTTAAATATGGTCTGTATGAGTTCACCAAGAAATACTACTCAGACATTGTTGGACCAGAATACGCAGCCAAATACAAGACCTCATTTACCTCGCTGGCCCGGCCTCTGCGGAAATCGTCGCTGATGTGGCTCTCTGTCCAATGGAAGCTGTCAAAGTCAGGGTCCAGACTCAGCCTGGTTTCGCCCGCGGTTTATCTGATGGTTTACCAAAGATCATTAGATCTGAAGGCGTTCGCGGGTTATTCAAAGGGCTTGTTCCTCTCTGGGGACGCCAGATTCCATGTAAGTCTTTATCTTCAAGAAAACGTAGTGTCATGAAGATGATGATTTTAGTAAAAAGTTTTGAGCTTTTGGCAGATACAATGATGAAATTCGCTACTTTTGAAAACACTGTGGAGCTCATATACAAGAAAGTGATGCCTACCTCAAAAGAGGAGTGCTCGGAGTCAGTTCAGCTCGGGGTGAGCTTCGCCGGTGGATACATTGCTGGAATTTTCTGCGCTGTTATCTTACATCCTGCAGATAACTTGGTGTTATTCCTCAATAACTCTAAAGGAGCCACCGTTACTGATGTAAGTGAAACTCTATACAAATCCCTACTTCACCAGAAAAAAGCTCATAATCATCCACTGATAGATATAGCTTATGAATATATATCTGCTGCTAATGTCTTGGTTTTGATTGTTTCACGTGTTACAGGCAGTAAAGAAGCTAGGGTTATTGGGTCTGCTTACCCGTGGCCTTCCACTCCGCATTTTCATAATAGGAACACTCACTGGAGCACAATGGGTTATCTACGATGCTGTCAAAGTTTTAGCTGGATTGTAAGTTTTTTCTCACCTGCATTAGAGATATTATCATCAATACTCAAATCATTCAAGAATCAACATATGAAAAACACTCAGCAAATACCTCTCATTTTTTTAGGCCAACCACTGGTGGTGCTTCTCCAGCTACTGCGCTTGCTCGAGCTGTAAGTGCTTAAGATTACAAAAAAAAATTCTCGGAAGCAGTCAAATTAAAGCAATAAAAAGGAAAGAAAACTCCCAATATTATTCTGATTTTGCTTATACCTTGTATTATATCAAATATGGCGTTTCCTACATCTAGCCATTGTTTTACATATAACATATGAAAATCATCAAAAACATCCTTTTACTTTTTACCATATCTCAGTTTAAAACCTAACCAATCCAAGAAGGACTACAAATCTTGAGATGGGTTTAATGGAAAGACTGTGTCGAAAACAACCCTGGCAAATACATGTCTAACTTCTGAAAGGTCGCCAGAAGATAACGAGATATAATCATTTTTACTGTCTTGCTTGGGCACAAATCCCTTCTGCACATTTTCTTTCACACACTCGAAAATTCTTCTTGCATCTAAGTACAATTGCAACGGTATGAAAACCTGTAAAAAAGCCAACGATAGGAGAGAATTAGGACAACAGCTAAACCAGGGAAATCTTGTTTCTAATCTTCAGCCAAACGATATATCAAGATCCATGGTCTATAGTCGAGGCATTCTCCCGAGAAGAATTTGCATTTGTATCAGTGAAACTTCGTTAAAAATGAAACTAAGATAAGTAGGAGAGCTTGCCATATCGGAATATGGGGCCTGAGGGTACGCTGCCATAGCTTTAGAAATAAACCACCCATCCGTCATCTGTCACAATGCCTCTTTAGTAGACGCTTCAAGATCCATGATCTCATCCATTAAGGTTTGGGAGTCCAGTTTCTCTGGCTCCAGTAGCTCGAAGAAACTTCTATTATGAGGTTTTGTGATTTCCCTGGTGATCTTTACAGCTTCTATAACATCTCCACCATTGTGGACAGCGTGGCTGAACGCGGCAACCACTGAAGGAAATCGAGGTTGATCAGCAAGGGCTTTGTGAAGAGCCAAGATTGCTAACCTGCAATTTCCCGACACAACATTGTTGGGTATTAATTATAGTATTGTCCTCTACTAAATATAATAGGATAGTGCCTATGGGATCTTAACAAGCGAGGATTCTACCATAAGTTGCTGTGGCAAGGTCTATCCGGAGCCAACAATTTATCCAAATTGGCAAAGAGACTGCATGGTGACATGTAAAGTTGTTAACTATAAATTCTTTACTCTATATTTGAAGCAAAAGACATAAATCTAAAATTTATTTGATTTATCGCATTTTCTATAATTTTCACAAATAATAAAAATCAATTTTACATTTCAAATAAATTGAAATGAATTTCATTTGCATTAGTTTTAATATTTTTATGCAAAATTGATCAAAGCATATGATATCAAAATTTAATTTTATTACATTTATTCACAATACATATTATTATGTACGTTTATAAAAGTTCTTACACGTCTATATATTTTTTTTTTGAGAAACTACGTCTAAATATTAAGATCAATTAGAAAACATATTTAAGTATTTAATCCCACGCTTGGCGTGGGTCAAAATCTAGTAGTTAGTTAATTTGTAACTAAAGCTTGTCAAACTGTACCAGAGTCTGGCCAAAATTTGTCCGCCTTCTCTTCATATATCATCAAACACTAGCCATGGAATGTGCCGAGTCAACCACACTTCTCATCCTCACACCCTCTTAGGCTCCCGTAGGTGCAGACCATACCGTGTGTAATATGCATCACACGACACAAGCACCGAATTTCTCGAAGTTACTTCAGTGGCCCTGAGAAAGTTTCTGGCCTTGGCGACACAAACATCCCTTTCCACCAAACACTGCACCAAGTGATGATCATTAACTTACTACATTGTATTGCGTTTCAGCGACGTTGCAGTTGTTTCAAGTAACGTAACTTGCAATTTTGAGATAGATGTATAATGCCGTTCAATTTGAGACCAATATTTTTGTGAAAGTCCTTCACATCCTTTTTAGCTTTTTACCTTACCTCCTAAGGTTTGCAGGGCTGGTAATGAGATCGCATCATCTGTGTTGTGTTGTGTTGTGTTGCATGCTTTGGGCTTCAACTGCACGCTTCTTTGGCTAACAAGGTAAAAAGTACAAATGCAACACATTCTCTCTCTATCTGCCCTTGAGATAACATTAGCCGGCGATATTAGTGTGAGGAATGCGAAAATGAAGCAAACCCAAATACAAGATTTTATACAAGTGAAGATTGCAGCTCTACTAATGTTATATATGTTTTAAGCATTACGGAGACGCATCAGGCACATTTAATCTTAGAAAATAAGTATGTTCTCATCTCAAATGTTTAGAAGCCTAGTTCAGATTCAGTCTTTACGGTTCAGAACTCGCTACTTTGGTTATGACAAATCTTTGGGATCTGTTTCGACTCGAACCATATTAAGCCATAGCTAGAGCATTCTGTAATAGCTGCAGTACCTGGGAACTTTAGTGGAAGAAGAAAGGATCTTTCCTTCAAAATAAAAATATTTTGTCAAGAATTACAACATTGCCTCTTCACGTTTACAAGAATCTCTATTCAGACATGGCAAAGAAAAGAAGGCGAAACTGTCAAGGGAAGATTGAGTTTTCACTTCCAGAGTTCTTCCATGGGAATGCCGCGCTCAAGAGCCACATCACGGAACTGTCTCATCTGTTGCACTGCTGCAAGAGTCGCTCTTGCATTGTTGAGAGCATTGTTACTTCCGAGCTGTTTCCCCAATGCATTCTCAACTCCTGCCATCTCAAGCACGATCCTAACCGCTCCTCCAGCAATCACACCTGTACCCGGTGAAGCCGGTCTAAGCATAACCTTCGCTGCCCCGTAATCACCCTCTGATCTGTAACCAAAAACCCAATAGGCCAATACCTTAAAATCCAAACAACACACCTAACCAAACATATACAAACAGAGAGCCTCACAAAGTCCCATAACACCAATACTTAAACTAAACAAACCATCACATCCTAACACCAATTGCTTAAACCATTAACCTTTACCACACCAACACAACCAGGCTGCAAAATCAGAAACCCTACAAAGCTAAGATGATGAAGCATAAGGCACAATACTTAGTTCCACCAAACTGATTCTTCTAACATGAGGGCACAATAACAACATCAAAATCAAAACTTTACCTGTGGGGGAAAGTGAGGTACTTAGTCATGGGGACTTGAACAATGTTACGCCTAGCATCAATGGCGGATTTTTGAACAGCAGCAACAACTTCCTTAGCCTTAGCACAACCAACTCCAACATTGCCTTGTTTATCTCCAACAACAACAATAGCTCTAAACTTCAATTGCTTACCTCCTTTCACAACCTTAGTGACTCTCCTCACTTGCACAACCCTCTCTTCAAACCCATCTCTGATCTTATCCTTCTTAGGCTTCGAACCACCAATTCCTCCACTATTCTTCTTAATCTTCGAGTCCATTACATTGACGTCTTTCCCGAGCATACTCTCTCCACTATACGCCGGACCGTAAAGCTCTTCGTAAGCCGTCGCGATCTCAGCCTCGGTCTCGTCAACTCCTTCGTCGAAATACGGCGGCGCGACGAAACCATCTGGAACAACCGGCGGATCGAAGATGGCATTCTCGGTGATTTCTGGGGTTGTGTCTTCGAAGAAGAAAGTTTCGGTTTCCCCTGAGGAAGCCTTGACGAGAGTGAGGTTTGAGGTGCGTTTGAGGAAAGAGAAGGAGACGTTGGGCTT